GGGAGAGGAGGGGAGAGGAGAGCAGGGCAGGGCAAGGGAGGGGAGGGGAGGGGAGAGGAGAGCAGGGCAGGGCAAGGGAGGGGAGGGCATGGCGGGCGGCAGGCGGCCTTACCTTGCGTGAGCAGGAAGTAGGGCATGAGCGAGCGCTTGAGCGAGGGCTGGCGGAACTGCAGGCGGTCGGGGATCTCACCCAGCAGCAGCTCCACTACGATCAGCAGCTTGTGCACCTGGGGACGCGGGACAGTGGGCGGGTGGGCTCCCAGGGGAGCGCCCCCCCCCCCCCGAGGGAGGAGGGCAGTGCACGCTAGGGGTCCCGACAGAGGCGCAGAGAGGGCCTGGCGGACCGGTGAGCCAGCGGGCAGAGGGTATGGACGAGCACAGCCGGCCTTTTATTTACATTTTCTAGGGGGGTATTGGGCACTGAACCCGAGGATTTGGCCTGAGCTGCATCCCCAGCCCTTCATGCTTTTTAAATTCTGAGACAGGGATTTGTTAGGGTGATAAGTTGCCCAGGCGGGGCCCAAACTTGATCTTCCTGCCTTAGCTTCTCAGAGTGGCGAGATTACAGGTGTGAGCCCCAGGCCTTTCTTGCACCAGGAAGTGACCCACGGGTGAGGGGAAACCAGGGACACGGCACAGCTGAGGGGGCGCCTTAGCGGCTCTGTGATGTCTCCGCAGGCAGCAGGCCCAGAAGGCAGGAAGGCGGGCCACGATGGGGTGGAGGGGGCACGAGGAGAGACCCACACCGCCGGCAGAGGGCCCTAGGCAGCAACCCGCCCATCCCATCCCAGTGCGAAGAGCAGTAAGGATGCCAGCCGGCTGCAGGTGCTTGCTGGGCTGAAGGGGCTTCCGGCACAGAGCGCTGCTCAGTCAGCAGCTGGGAGAAAGGGGAACCGGGGAGGGGTCGGGGATGGCAACCCACAGTGTCCGGCAACGGCAGTGGCTCAAACAGGGAGGACACAGAGATGGCAGCAGATGACTTAGTGACTGGGAAGCGGGGACATCAGAGGTGACCCTGTAGGTCCTGCCTGCGTGTGCAAAGTGGGAAGACTCAGGGCTGAGGGTTTGCTAGGGACGAACTAGGGGCCAAATGTCCGGGCCCTCTCCAGAGACTCGGGCAAGGGAGGAGCTGGAGCGGAAGAGGGGCAATCCGGTGTTGAAGCTGGGCATGGGGTGCAAGCCTGTGACCCCAGCTACTTGGGAGGCTGAGGCAGGAGGATTGCAAGTTCAAGGCTAGCCTGGGCAACTTAGTGAAGCCCTATTTCCAAATAACAAAATAAAAAAGGGCTGAAGATTAGTTCAGGGCAAAGGCACTAGGCTCAATTCTCAGTAAATTCTCACCCACAAACCCCCAAAAGCTGCAAATAAAAACCAATGGTGGTGCCGGGGATTTAGCTTAGTGGTTACGCCGCCTGCCTTGAAAGCGCCAAGGACCTGATCCCTGGTACCAAAAAAACCCCCAATGGTGCCCAAAAGCCACAATCACACAGCAAGGACAACCGAGGGTCTCAACATATGACTGTGTCTGGAGATGAGGCCTCTGCTGAGGTGACTAAGGTGAAATGACACAAGGTGGACTGCAGGCCACTGAGGCTGGTGTCCTCTGGGGATCACGCGAACCCGGGAAGCAGCCAGCCACACTGCGCGGTCACCTTGCCCCGAGTGAGCGCTGCAACACCAGTCCTATTGCTGAAGACACCGAGTCTCTGGTACAAGGACCTGGAGACAGACAGGTGACTGTGCATGTGCAGACGCTGCCTGGAGGGTGGGGTCCAGGCCATGGCTGCACCGACTGGTGGGGGGGATGGGACACGGGGGGGGGGGGAGACAACAGGAGGGCAGGGCCAAGGCTCCAGGCGAGGCAGGCAGGACCGAGGCAGAAAAGCTGGCTTAGTGAAGGTGGGGCCAGTGGCTGAGGAGCTTCCTGTCACGTGAGGGCACTGAGGTTGGCAGTGCGCTCTGGCCAGGGGGCTCTCACCAACCCCAGCCAGGCTGTGCCACCATCTTGGACCTCCAGACTGGGGCAAGTGACTTCCTTTTTGTCGGTAACGGTGAGCAGCCCAGGGCGTGCTGCCACCATGCCTGGTGGGCTTGGAACCTTTTTTTCCTTCCGGTACCAGGGATCAAACTCAGGGCCTTGTACTTTCGAGGCAGGCATGGTGCCACTGAGCCAAATCCCTAGCCCTGCTTTTAGCGATTTTTGAAAGACTTTAGTGTGACTCCTGCGGCAAGCAAGCTGCCAGTGCGCCCATCCTTAGAATATTGGTTCTGACAGAAGACTAGGAGGCCTCTGCTTGCTGTGTGTGCCCAAATCCTATCTGCCTCCCTCTGAGCCTCCGCGCACAAACAGAAGGGGTCTCCGGGACCCGGACCCCAGGTCACCGCGCCTGCCGGCCTGTGCTGCGGTCAGTGGAGCAGAGGGCTGCGGGGCAGAATGGGGTCCGAGCCCTGGCTCCGGCACTCTGGACTTTACCCAGGCCCGAGACACGCCACTTCTGTCCTCCCCGCCCCGCCCAGTGCCCGGCACCTGACCCACAGCGTTTCCGTGGTCAGGTCCAGCTGCCCCGGCCCCACAGAGCGTGAGTGTGGTGGGGGCGGGACCAGCGTGGGGTCTGGAGTACCTCAGCCCCTCCCCCAACAGCAGGGCAGGGCGGGCTCCCGGGGACAGGAAGTGGGCGGAGGAGGAGGGCGGAGGGGCGGAGAGGGCTGGGCTGGGAGGCCTCTACCGTCTGTTTGAAGCCCACGGCCGTGTGCTGCGGAGCCTTCCGGAGCGCATTGGTCATGGTCCTCCGCGCCTCCGAGTACTCCAGCTGGATGGCTTTGATCCGCCCTGGCGGAGGACAGGACAGCATCAGGGGAGCGCCATCACTCGAGGCAGGCAAAACCAGACTGCTGGCCAGACCCACCCTCAGAAAACCCTCCAGGAAGCTGGCTGTGGTGGCCACACCTGCAATCCCAGCCTTAGGCTGAGGCAGGAGGATCCCCAAGGAGCTGGAGGCCAGCACGGGCTATGTAGTGAGTTCAAGGCCAGCCTGGACTACACAGCGAGTCCCTGTCTCAATAAAACCAAAACCCGAAAGAGAAAGCGCTTCTCTGCAGAGTGAGCCCCGCACCCCCAGGCCCGCGGGCCGCTGCTCACCTGTGTAGTACAGGTACCTGGCCCACTCGTTGTTGTTGGCCTGCTCGGGGAACACGGACTTGGACACCAGCTTCTCCGCCTGGTCGTACAGGCTGTAGTGCAGGTAGTTCCGCAGCAGCAGGTTCAGCAGCGTGGCCTGCCCGTCGGCATCATGCCGGAGGGTAGCTGTCCGCAGCCGCGCATGCAGGAAGCTTCAGGGGGGAAGGAGAAAGCTGGCAGAGGCCACAGGCCACAGCTCGGAACTGCCTCTGCCTCTGGCCTCTCAGTTCCTGGAAAAGTGACCCACTGCTCTGAGGGCTGTGCACTCAACACTCAGCTACTGACCGGCAACTGCACAAGTGCTGTTCGATTTCTTTC